CTGGTGAGGGCGCGCGGCGCGCGCGCGTTCCGCGCGGATCACTGGTGCGCTTTTTGCCTCCCTCAGGCTTCTTGTGCTTCTTCCTACCTCCCCCAAGCTCCTCTTCCGTGTTCCTACCTGCTCATGCTCTTGCACGTTTCCAGTCTTTCCTATCCCCATACTCCCTCTCTTCACCGTGTTCATTATGATTTTCATGTTCCGCCCTCCTCTCCTTTGCTCCGCTTCCTGCACCTCATCATCCGCGAATACGGATGCGGCTCGCTATTTTCGCCGCTTGCCCGATTGCCCGGCCTTGATCAGGGCGACTCGCCTTGCGGTTGTTCATGGATTGGTTCGTGAGGATTTGAGCAACGCGTCAATGATTTCACCGGGCGTCTAGGTGTTATTGTTGGCGTCTGGGCGTTGCCGTTGGGGTTTACCGCGGGCCAGTATGATTAACAATTGCAAGCGGCGCGTTGGCAGGCATTCGCCTTCCTGGAGACATCTGTCTGGTTTCGCAGTGACCTTCTTTCGCGCTGCTTTTGTTTCTTTGCCTCCAGTTTGCGGTTGTATGTTTGTAGCCCTTGGCTGAGCTCCATCAGACGGCTATAATTCCGCTGCCCTCGCTCGATGCATGACCGTCCCCGCAGCAATGCTCGTGAACTTTCTGGTGGGCTGATTATTTGTGGTTTTCTCTGCAGTTGGACTGCGGGCGGAACGCGGGCGCCGCTTATGCAGCATTCCATTGTTCGTTCTCCTCTGAGGGCATCCGCAGTGGATTTTGCGCGCGTTTGTTTTTTTTTGTTGAGCAGATCAGTTCAATAAGATCTGTCGTTGTATGGCGCGATACCACTAAACTGAAATTGGAAAAAGGGAAAAATATCCACGCGTCCCTTCGTAGCCCTTGGCGAAGCCAACCGCTTCCTCCTCCTCGTCCTCCTCCTCCTCCTATTCCTCCTCCTCCTCCTCCTCCTCCTCCTCCTCCTCCTCGTCCTCTCACCCCTCTTCCCAAGGTGGCTCCAAGGGGCCTCCGCGAGGCTCTTCATGCGACTCCCTTGGGCATTTGTTCTGGATGGGTTCGCGGGGACACGCTAAGCGTCCAGAACACGCCTGTCTGGAGTGTAGGCTCCTTCGTGCCAGTGATGCGCTAGTAATCCGTGAGGGCTTCGCCCCATGCCGCCGGCCCCCGTCTCGGAGAATGGGAGATGCAAAAGCTACATCATGAGGTCTGGGCGCCGCCGTGAAGCAGTGCCGGGACCTGTTTGTTTTTCGACCGGATCTGTGTCACGGGTGCCACCGAATTTCAGAAATGTGGCAAACCTTGTGTTTTTGGACCCTGACCCTACGGATCTGCGTGAGGGGTGCCGCCGAATTTCAGAAATGTGGCATTTTTTTTTTTTTTTTTTTTTTTTTTTTTTGAACCTGACCCTACGGATCTGCGTGAGGGGTGCCGCCGAATTTAAGAAATTGGAGCCTGACCCTGCCGATCTGCGTGAGGGGTGCCAGCGAATTTCAGAATGTGGCAAATCCCTTGTGTTTTTGGACCCTGACCCCGCAGATCTGCGTGAGGGGTGCCAGCGAATTTCAGAAATGTGGCAAATCCCTTGTGCTTTTGCACCCTGACCCCGCCGATCTGCGTGAGGGGTGCCACCGAATGTCAGAAATGTGGTAAATCCCATGTGTTTTTGGACCCTGACCCCGCCGATCTGCGTGAGGGGTGCTACCGAATGTTAGAAATGTGGCAAATCCGATGTGTTTTTGGACCCTGACCCCGCCGATCTGCGTGAGGGGTGCCACCGAATTTTAGAAATTTGGCAAATCCCTTGTGTTTTTGGACCCTGACCCCGCCGATCTGCGTGATGGGTGTTACTTTTTTCCCACCCCAGCATTTCAGAGCACACGCTCAGGGCGTGGTAAAATTGCCCGTATTGGGCCTCCCCCACTCGCGCGGTCCATCAACAAGGAACAGTAAGCAGTAATAAGCAGATTTGTACTAACAAGGAACAGCAAGCAGCAATAAGCAAAACTGTAACAGTGGAAACTGGAAGCTGCAACTGGCACAGGAAACTGCGAACCTTAGGCCTACAGCCTGGTGGCCCCACAAGGGGACCGGCGGATTTTTTGCTGGATGAGGCTTGGTCTCGCCCTTATGATGGCGTGCGTTCTGATCTGTAGCATTCTGGGTTCATGCTCCGGTAGGCTTGACCGTCGCCTGCAGTTGACGATGGCTCTGGCCCTCCCTGGCAATGGGCCTCAGAGTGCAGACTCGGATGTTGCTGCCGCGTTGCGGCCGTTCCGCCGAGTGCCCTGGGGTGGTTCCTGTTGGGCTACAACATTAGCGACGCACCAGGCTTGCGGATTGGGATCCGTGATCCGTATCCTCACCACTTGGGGTTCTTACTGCTCTATGTAGTGCTCCACAGTCAGGCGGGTCAAAATTGCCATGCGGGTTAACACGGCCAGGCTGCTTGAAACGGCAACGTGGGTTAACTGGCCTTGTCCATTTTGGGTTGGAAACACCATCTGGATTCCGACTTTCGGGCCTGAGACGGCTCAAGAGAGCAGAGCTCCAAGGTTTCTGAAACATGGCCGTTTCGCTCGATACATTCTCAAAAAATTGGCCCCGGAGGGGACTCCGAATCGACATCGTCTTGGAATTGCTTCCGGAATGCTTTCGAACGTCCCGAAGGAGGCCCAAAAGACGCCCCAGAGGTCCCCAAGAGCGCCTAAGAGCGCCCCGGACCCCAAAAGACCTCCAAGAGCGCTCCAGCAGGCACCCAGAGAGCTCACGAGAACCCCAAGACGGGGACCCCTCTTGGGGCCCTCTTGGGCCATTTTGGAGCCATCTTGAGGCTTGGGAAGGCTACCGGAAGCGAAAGGGCGACGATGCACAACTCATTGGCTTTCCCCAGGTTTTTGAAGGATTTTGGCTTCTTGGAGGCCTCCTTGGAGGTCTCGGAGGCCTCTTGGAGCCGTCTTGGAGCGTTCTTGGGGCCTCTTGGACCATCTTGGAAGCCATATTGGGCCATCTTGCGCTATCTTGAGCCATTTTGGAGGTCGTCTTGGGATCTCTGAGGCGCTCTTGGAGCCGTCTTGCACGAAAAATCACCGTCTGACCGCTCGCGAACCCCCCCGTCCAGGTCCAGGGGAGGGGGCAGGGGAGAGGGGTGCACCCCTCCCCGAAGGGGAACACGGGGGGTGGAAGAGGAAACTTTCTAAACCACCCACGCCCAGAGGGCTGGTGGGATTTACATACCCTGTGGACCACGGGCTTGGCAGGCGTATAGATTTCTGGTGCCGCCCCGCCGATGACTACCTCTGTGCCTCTGTCACTCCATCGCTCCTGGGCTCCTCCGCGCCATGCGCTCTTGCGCGCCACACCGCTGCTCGTCGATGCTGTCGTGCTGCCCCTCGCCCGTTGGATTCGAGTCTCGGGTGGGCTGCCGTGCCTCCCGGTGGCGGCCCATGCCCACCGTCCGCATGGGTCCGTGGCGGGATAGCAAGTGACGGCCGAAGGTCAGGCGGGTCCCTGCGGGGGCCCAGGGGCTTGCGGGGGCCAGAGGCAGGCGGGCCCCTGAGGGGGCCCCTGCGCTCGCGGCCGTGGTTGTGCATCCCATGGCAGGCGGGCCCCCGCGGGGGCCCGTGCGCCTTCGGGATTCCTTTTCCCCCACCCTCACCGCCCTTTGGCCTCTCGGCTTTTGGGGGGGGGAACTTTGCGTGGGGCTTGTGGTGCAGCGCAGGCGGCCAGGCAGCTGGGTCGGGTCGGCGTGGAGGGTGCGACCGTCCTCTCCGCCGCGCCAAGACGTCAGTGTCCTTTGCCAGCGCGGCGCGGCGCTGCACCGAGGGAATTAATTCGGCTTGTTGGATGTGCGTTGGTCGAAGTCGATGTAGTGTGTTCCGCTGGTTAGTGGTCGGAGTTGCGGTATCTGCCAGATGTTTGGGACGGTTGGGTGCCATCTTGGTTGTTTGGTAATGCGTATGGACGTTGTGCTCGTGTGTTCAGCCCTTGCCAGTAGCGGGATCATGTTCTGGATTCTCCTATTGGCTACGTGTGCTCTTTTGATCTGCTCCTTTGGTTGGTTGGGAATCCCCCAGATTTGCGTTGTGGTGCGGTGTGTTGCATTGGCTGACCAGGTGTCTTCTGGTGGTTTGCTGAATATGGGCGCTACTTGACCTCGTTTGATCGTTTGAGTCCATATGTCGGTAAATTCTGGCCTCGCTAGATCGAGTTGTGAGTCTGCGCTGTAGCCATTTCTGATGCACGTGCATGTGTTGGTGTCTGGGTTAGTTTTTAACTGGTGTTGTAGGTCGGTGTGATGGCGTTCATCTTGACACAGCAGTAGTCTGTATGATGGTTCCTTCCTCGTGTCTCTGAATGGTTGCCGGTGGGTCTGCTCTTCTGTGATGATGGTTGTTGGTGGCGCTGCTATGTCGTACTGGATGCGACGTTGTCGTCTGCATCCGTCTGGGATTGCTGCTGGTATCGTCGCTGCGCCTGCTCGTAGTTCTTAGTCTTTGCTAGCTCTGGTTTCCGTGCTGTCGCTCTGTTGTATAGCTGCTATCGAGTCATGTGTTAGTGTAATTACTTGCTGCATGTAGTATTGGTTGCATCGTACCATTCGGTATCGGAGGTGCGTGATCAGTTTTTCTCTTGTGTGGAATTGTTCTTCCTCCGCCTCCTTCTTCTCCGTCCTTTCCTTGTTATCCATTTGTTGTGCCCCGCGTCTTCGCCACCGCTCTTTCGGAGGGGGATTGAATGGGCGGGCGGAAGGCAAGTGCTTTTGTTGTTGTTCTCTTCCCCCCGGGACGGGGACGGCCAGGACAATGCGTAATTAGTGTAGAAGAACCCTCTCGGGTTCTCGAAGCTCACGGGTGCATCTAGAGGTTTCCAGATGCCTCCCGGCAGGACCCCGAAGGGCCACTTCGGGCCAAACACATCCGAAAGTTGACGCCTTTAAAGTCACAGTCCAGAGATCACCCCATGCCGCCTCAAAGTTGTCCGAAAGCCGACCGTCCCGCAGGAGCGCGACGCGGAGCGCGGCTGGGAGTCCTCTTTCACTGCGAAGGCGGCCATGCAAGTCAGCAGATCGCAGCTGAACCTCGGTCGCCTGCCAGAGGCGCCTTGCACCAGCCACGGGGGCAGAGTCGACATTGTCGACGTCGTCGTTGAGAACATCTCATCCTCCTACCCCTACCTTCCGGGCTTCTCCCCTCTCTTAACCTCTCGCCTTTGTCCCTCTCTCTCTGTCTCTCCCTCTCTATCTCTCTATCTCTCTCCCCGCTCTCTCCCTCTTTTTTTGTCCTCTCTCTCTCTCTCTCTTATGTATGTTTAGATGTTTATATGTTTATATGTTTATATGTTTATATATATATATAGATATATACAAGTGGCGCGTGTGTGCCCAGGCTCATACAAACAAAAAAATGAAAGGGCGTTTGAAGCAGGAGAAGAGGAGGAGGATAGCTGCTGGGAGTGAAATGCAATAGCCAGCTCGCACTCGAGCGCAAGTGGGGTTGCCACACCTTGCGATGTGTGTACCAGGGCCCCCCAGGAAGCCTCAGGAGGCCCGACTTGGATACCCGAAGAGGCTCCAGGAGGCCCCAGGATTGTGAGTGTTGTGTGTGTGTGTGTGTGTGTGTGTGTGATGTGTGGTCTGTGTTGTGCGTGTTTTCTCTGCGTTGTAGGTGTTGTGTGTTTTATGTTTGTCTAGCGTGTGATGTGCTGGGTGTGATTTGTGTCTCTGTGTGTGCATGTAGTTCTGAGGCCCCAGGAGGCCCCAGGAGGCCCCAGGCGGCCTCAGGAGGTCCCAGGACACCCCAGGAGGCCACACCCCAGGAGGCTCCAGGAGGCCCCAAGAGGCTCCAGGAGGCCCCAGGAGGCCCGAGGAGGTTCCAGGAGACCCCCAGGAGGCTCCGAGGCGGGGTCTGGGGTACCAGAAGGTACAGAAAGCCCCAGGAGGCCCCAGGAGGTTCCAGGAGGCCCCCAGGAGGCTCCGAGGCGGGGTCTGGGGTACCAGAGGGTACGTCGGGGCTCGATTTTGGGAGGATGTCTCAGGCGAAACCGCCATTCTCTGAGACTCGGGGTCAAAATCATTGAAAGCACAAGGTGTTGTTGAAGGTTTTATGTTAACATGTCGAAATTCCCATGTGTTTTTGGACCCTGACGTCACGATCTGTGTGAGGGGTGCCACCGATTTCAGAATTTCGAGGATGTCCCTAGCGAAACGGCCAGAACAATCGCGAACGACGCGGCGCGTACGCATTAATCGCATCTGAGCTCTACTCCCTCGGAGAGGTGCGTATGAATACATATATATATATATATGTATATATATATATATATATGTATATGTATATGTATATGTATATGTATATATATATATATATATATATATGAGTAGGGGGGGGGGGGGGGGCAAAATCGGTGCCGTCATCCCCCATGGCCGACCCCCCGAACCTTTGGGGGGTCACAGATCCCCTGGGACTGCCCCGGGCCGCTTCCAAATTGCCCACGACAGGCCACGCGGGACGTAAAGATGGTCAAGAAAGCCTGAACAGGCCCCGAAGACGCCCAAGAGCGCCCCAAGAGGGCCCGTGATGGCCCCAAGAGGGCCTTCAAGAGGTAAACATAGGCCCACTTCCTTCGTAAAACGTACGTTTTCGGCATACTCGCTGGCTTCGTCTTCACAGTGCCCCAGACGCCCCCGCGGAGCCCCAACACAGCCCAAGAGACCCAAGAGGGCCCCAGACGGCCCAAAAGAGTCGTCCTGTGGGGCTCACGGAAACCTCCGAGACGGCCCAAGATGCCCCAAAGCCAGCCCAGGAGGTCCCCAAGACGGCCTCAGGGAGGCCCAAGAGGGCCCGTTCGAAATCATGTTCCCGGAAGCCTCTCCGGGAACATGATTTCCGGGCTCCGAGGACGCCCAAGAGGCCCACAAGACAGCCTCAGCGAGGCCCCAGAGGGCCCGAGATGGCTTGAAGATGGCCGAAGAGGGCCCCGAGAGGGCCTTCAAGAGGCAAACATCGGCCCATTTCCTTCGTAAAGCGTGCATTTTCAGCATACTCGCTGGCTTCGTCTTCGCAGTGCCCAGACGCCCCCGCGGAGCCCCAACACAGCCCAAGAGAGACCCAAGAGGGCCCAAGACGGCCCAAAAGGGTCGGCATGTGGGGCTCACGGAACCCCCCAAGACGGCCCAGGAGGCCCCGAAGCCGGTCCAGGAGGCCCCCAAGACGGCCTCAGGGAGGCCCAAGGGCTCCGTTCGAAATCATGTTCCCGGAAGCTTTAAGAGGCAAAAGTCGTCCCTTTCCCGTAGTAAAACGTACAAATTCAGCATACTCCTTTGCTTCGTCTTCGCAGTGCCTCAGACGCGTTTGAGGAGCCCCAAGACAGCCCAAGAGAGACCCAAGAGGGCCCAAGACGGCCCAAAAGAGTCGTTCTGTGGGGCTCACGGAACCTCCCAAGACGGCCCAAGAGGCCCCAAAGCTAGCCCAGGAGGCCCCCAAGACAGCCTCCAGGAGGCCCAAGAGGGCTCCGTTCGAAATCATGTTCCCGGAAGTCTCCCCGGGAACATGATTTCCGCTTTCCCAGGACGCCCAAAGACAGCCCCCAGAGGCCCCAGACACGCCGAAGATGGCCTCAGGACGGCCGACGACGCCGCCAGAACGCCCCAAGAGCGCCTTCAGAGGCTCCTGCAAAGGACCCCAGAAGCCGAAAATCATGCATCTTCCAATGGTTTTTGAAGCATTCTTGCGCTCTCCCATGTTCCGCCTCCCCAGGGTCCCGGACCGCGTCAGAGGCCCTTCAGATCGCTCCAAGACGGCCAAAGAGGCTCCCAAAAAAAGCTCAGAGACGGCCCAGGAGGCTCCCCAGATAAGTCAAGAGGGCCTCGGGAGCGCCCAAGAGAGCCCCAAGAGCGACCCAAGAGAGCCCGAAGAGCGCGACATTTCAAGGTCTCCGGCCTGAGAGGCTCCTAGGACGCCCTCAGAGGCCATCGAGAGGCTCCCAAGAAGCCCCGTGAGGCTCTCAAGAGGCCCCCAGAAGCCCCAATAGGCCCCCAAGGGGCCCCCAGGGAAGCCCCCTGCGGGCCCTCAAGACACTGCGGGCCCTCTGCGGGCCCCCAGATAGCTTTCCGGGAACATGATTCCTCGGGCATCCGCCCACCGCCCCAACCATGTTTCCAATAGGCTTGCCGACAAGACCAGAAGGCGCCCCGCGGTAGGCCCCCAGATGCCCCCCTCTTAGAGAGCCGAACAAATCATGCTCCCGGAAAGCTTCCCGGGAACATGATTCTCTATCTCGGAGTAGACCCGGGGGGGGGCGGGCCGCTGCCTGTTCCCCCCATCGGTACCCACCGGGGGTTGCGGGGGGGGGGTCCAGAGCTCCCGAGGCGGCCCGAGCCCGCCCCGCAAAGCGCGCGACCTCTTCCTTTGTTGTGTGCGTGTTGGATATTTCGTGCGATTTTTCCGCTGTTTTCGTACCTTCTTGTTTTGAATTATTTTTGATAGGAATGCGCGCCTGTGCGGTGAGTTGTATTAGCAAATAAACTTATAAAAGTCAATTGGCATATTGCACAGAAACAACGCAGTGATAGGGTATACTATTTTCATAATAGTAGGAGGGCGCTTGTTTGCATTTTATCCATACTGGTAGGGGGCGCGGTTCCTATTTCCCATAATAATAGGAGGTGCCTTTCTTGCCCTCCTCAGGCGCTTCCCCTTTCATACACATATATATATGCACATATATATACTTGTGTATATATACACACGCACACATACATATATTTATACGCATATATATATATATATATATATATATATATATATATATATGTTTGTGTCTATATATACATGTACACGTGTGTGCATGTATGTATGTATGTATGTAGGTAGGTAGGTATGTATGTATGCATGCATGTATGTATGTATTTATGTATGTATGTATGTATATATATATATATATATTTATATGTATGTATGTATGTATGTATGTAGGTATGTATATATGTATGTATGTATGTATGTATATATGTAAGTAAGTATGTATGTATGTATGTATGTATGTATGCATATGTATGTATGTATGCATGCATATATGCATGTATGTATGTATGTATAGGTGTACGTGTGCATGTGTGCATGTATGTATGTATCTATGTATGTATGCATGCATGCATGCATGCATGCATGCCTGTACGTATGTATGTATGTATGTATGTATGTATGTATGTATGTATGTATGTATGTACGTACGTATGTATGTATGTATGTATGTATGTATGTATGTATGTATGTATGTATGTACGTATATATGTATGTATATTTGTATGCATTTTATATATAGATATATGTATACATGCATACATATATATATATATATGTATATATATATGTATCAGAATGATGGGGCCGAGCGGTCATTCATTGTCCCTGGGTGCGTGGTTGAATAGGGAATTTGGGGCGAGAATTCTGCTAGTTGCGTTGTTGCTGTTGTTGTTGTTGTTGTTGTTGCTGTTGTTGTTGTTGTTGTTGTTGTTGTTGTTGTTGTTTGTGTTGTTGTTGTTGGTCTCATTTCTGAAGATTAGTTATTGTTAATCCCCCCTCGCCGGTGCATGGCGTTTTTTTCTCCGTCAAAGTGTGCCCCTCGACGCTCGCTCCTGGTGTTTTTGACAGGGAAAGTCTTCCTGGTCAAACTGTGCTCTTGGCCCCCCGGACTACAACAACAACGGCTCCCGCCTGAGACTTCGTCCAAATTTTGTCAGGACCCCCCCCTCCCGTCTGAGAATTCCTCTCAATTTATTCAGGAACGGCGCTCCCGCTTGAGACTTCCTCACAGTTTAGTCCGGGTCAAACTGCGTCGTTGCTCCCCTGACCCCCTCTCCCGCTTGAGAGTTCCTTTTAATTCTTCACGCTTCGCGTATCCCCACCAGCCCATCTCAAAACAGCAACTCTTGCGAAGCATGCCGACAGTCGTGTTTTTCACGCGTGTTTCCGCCTGCCCCCGCATATCTCCCCTGTTCCTCCTTCCTCCCGCCTCCTTGTACATCCTCCTTATGGTGGGAGCGGGAGAAGGACAAGGCGGAGGAGGAGGGAGAGAAAGCGCTCCTCGTGGTTTGAG